GGGTATGTACGCACCCTCCAAAATAAAATGAGAGACAGAAAATCAGTCTTTTTATGTGGAGTTAAAATTAATGAACCAGCGGATTCTCACTGGTTATTGATGGCTTGATTGGGGTTTGTTGTGTAATTAATAATCTGTCCTAACGATCTGACTGCAAAACAGTTTAGCTAAGAGCTCTTTAATAAAGAAGAGTTTTATAATGTGAAATTTGAACATTTACCGATTATGCTTGAGCTATGATTTGAAACTCTTATTATAATATTAGTTGGTTGGTTACAGACAAATTCAACGATTATTAATGTAGAAGTATAATGGAATAGTCTAGAGGGAAATTTTTTGTGACTATTCATTGTATAGGATTCTTAATTTTGTTCATTTTTTAAGAGGAATATTTTTAGACATGTAAAGCAATGGTCCCGGAGTTTTCCATATAAAAGTGTTAAATGCATTTACAACTAACCACACGCTGTGGCAGATGTGTTATCATATATTTATCAAGTCACACCCAAAAGTAGCCCCCTGAGACACCTGGCTGCATTGCGGATATATTACACATTTATGACCCTTCCTATGATGGCTCGACGTGTAAAAGTAGGCACACCTTGACATGTTACATTCGTTTTTCTAATGTAAAATGTTTTTCCGATTGTTTTGTAAATTTTATTTTATTTTAAGATTGTAATCACTTAAATGTTTATTTTAAATTGAAATTATTATTTCCAGTTGGCAATCACCTCTACCTTAATAGACTAGCGCAAGTTAATTATAATTTACAACGTAAATTTTAAGTAATTTTATAAACATTTTTTTGAGAAAACAACAGTACAGAAATACTGGCTAGAATTGAAACCGAAGCAACAAACTCTAGCTGAAACACTTGTTCAGAGTTGAAGTTATTGCTCAAACTTGTGAATTGTCAATATAAAAGTATAAGCTCAGAACTTGTATGACAAATCTAAAATTTTTTTCGTTGAGTTATAAAACTGGAGTTATTTCTTTTATCGTTCATCTTACGTTAAAACTAGTCTCAAATACCTTCAACCTTAATATCATAAACATATCGTAAGTATTGTATGTAAAAGAACTTTCAACACTCTTGCAGTACATAAGAACCCACCCTCATTGAATAAGTGTACATCGTAATTTCCCATATTAGTTAATTTAAACTACAATATATTCTAGAACACATAATCTAAATAATTTGTTTAATCTTCGAGTTACAGGATGTTTTCCTGTATTTATAATACAGGAGTGGACAAAAGTATGGACACCGCCTTTTTACTTTTAATGGGATACACCAGGAAACCCAAACTATTACACCTCTATATGGCATAGTAATACACTTTCTTATTAGTATCCAAATTTAGTCTGAAAATCCAAAACGGATACAAACAATTACCCTACACTGTAATATGTGCTTGTTGTTATGGGTTGTATTTTGTCGAACCCTGTATATATTCTATAATTGTCATACAAACTAGAGCTGCATAATGCAAATGATTAATTATTCGAATGAAATGATTATTCAACGTCCAAAATACAAGTTTTAAGTTATAATTTAAAGTCTTGTAGGGTAGTATTATGTATCGCACAAAACATATATCAAAACATATATCTAATGTAAGCTACCTACAATTTAAGGGGTCTGTTAAATTGCTGATGTACACAATATTTTTATTCATCTATTTTGTTTAAGCTTACTCGACAAATATCATCCTATTGTACTGAATAAACTTCCTCTTTACTTTATCCCTCTCATGTCAACAATTATAAGGGTGAAAAGTAGCTTTCTCCACCCTATAATTGGTAAGAGCAAAATAAACAGCTGGAAAGTGGATCTTAAACATTAAACAGTGGTAATAGAGTGAAAATATTTGACGAAGCAATCTTCTCTTTACTATGTCTGAGTCGGCAGCCTCAACATTTAATGCTTGCTAACAAGGTTTGCGTTTGAATAGCAATTATACTTTAGTTCTTGAAGCTGTATGATGTTTTAATAGTATGTTGAACGTTAAAAATAAACGTATCTCTAAGAATTCTAAATTGTGTTATTTAATGATGCATTAATAAAAAGTCCAATCATGGATATGGAGAGCAAAATATTGACGCATAGAGTCTTAACATAGTTTTATTTAACATGATAAGATTTGTATAAACTCACATCCATATGATTTATGAGAGCTAATTAAGTATGGTATGCACGTTTTTTGTTTTTGGTTTATACCAATCACATTATTAAATAGCATCATAAACGTGTAGTAAAATTGTGTTTATCAAAAATAGTTTAGTAATGAAATAAATTTGCCTGCTGAACTTCACCAAGATTTTTATGTAAATTACTAAAAATATTACTTTAGTTTCTCTCATTGGAAACTGTTTTTTATATCACAAGTACAAATATATTTCCCTCTGAATATCTCCAACGAGTCTAAATGAGCAGGTAATTTTCCAATCATTGTCAATGAATGTTGACCTACTCTTTATGTCAGTCGGCCTTGAAATTGAGAGAGAGAGAGAAATTCTTTATTTATACAAATTATTTTGCAGCAATACATTCAAAAATAAAAATATCACATGGGTCACAATGACCTGTGCGTGATAGAGTCCTTAACTGGCTGCTTCATCAAAATAAAAGTTCTTCACACTTAACTACACAAAAAAAAATCTAACAATAACTTGGTAAAATAAGCATACAAATTTGATTTGGTTGGCCTCGAAATTGTAACTAGATCCAATCATTTATTTGATCATATGACTGATTTTCCTTAGAATTTCCTTTTTGCACCTAATTTCATGGTTAAGTATTTGTCAAACACATTCCATCAATTAAAACTACTGTGATATCCACGCCGTATTTTAAAACATCGATAATGATTCAAAACCTTTTTGAAAAGTGTATTCCTACACGAATGCTGGTTTTTATTTAGTTTTGATAAGCATAATTAAATACCTTCTATTTGTAAATCCAAAATAAAATACTTTAATATATTGGTAAACTCGTATCTTTTTCAAAAATGTTATTACGTATTTAATAAATACGATACATGACTTTATACACCAAATAACGGGACTTAAGGAGAAATAAAATGTATCGTTTAATTTTTCAAGCTCTTCGATCCTTTTTCCAATGATAATTAATGTGATTTAAGATTTACAGTAGAAGTTCTTTACCCCCAACATGAACTTTGCAAAACTTTTAACAGGAGACTTTAATTAAAACGAACACGTTTTAACATTTAGTAGAACGCCTCTAAGAATGTTAAACACGTTTAATTTTAGTACCTTCTAAGTCATCATAATATAAGAGAAATACTGGTGTAATATTGTATCGTTGGTTATATCGTGTGATGAATAAATATACTTTCACCACAAAATCGTAAGTTTTCTTTTAGTAACTAAACTTGTTTTAATATCTCAGTTATTATGCTATACAAAATCCATTGGTGTTTTGCGGAGAATTATTTTACAAAAGAAGAAATACTAAGTAACTCAAATTTCTTTGTTTTGTTTATTTATTTTATTTATTCATAAAATTTCATCAGTATAACTGACTATAGGTATCGAATAGCACTACCACAAATAATAAAATACTGCAAAATATATCATAGAATAATTATGGCATACCTAGTAAGATTGAACCCCGTACGAATTGATAAACAAATATAGAACAAATAATAAGCTATATGTTCAGCTTAAAGACATTAATCAATCCGACATTCTGTATGTAAAACATAATATTTTACAGTACCGCGTAATTTATTTGTTTTGGATTTTTTACTGACATAGGACTAACAATCTTTTAATTATTAGTTAGTTGTACTCTATTTTTGTTAAGAAGAATTTGTTTTAAATATCTGAAGAGATCATTATTGTATTTAAAAATATTCCTGTCTCTGAAGACGTCATAAAAAAATTGATTAGTTGTGTATTGGTATGTTGAAGCATATTTAACATTTTCATGGCATACACATGTTTTTACCCCATTAGAAATCCTTTTTGCATCACCCAGTGTTTTATACCTATATTAAAATAAATGACGTAGAATGTACTATTTATCCTGGTTAGTATATTCAGGGTTATGTGTAGTGTGCTGTGTGCCGTCTCTTCTAGGTTGTAGCAAGCAGTAGAAGAACTCCACCAGGTCTTCTCCTGCCACCCAAGGTGTTCCGGTAGAGTCATGGTAGCTCCCGAGGGGCCGAGCCCCCAGCCCGTGACACCCGAGCTTGAGAGCCAGCTGCGCCGTGTGGGGACATGCGCTGTAGAGCGAGAGTGCGCTGTACCCCAGTGTGGTGGCCAGTCGGCGCTGTTGAGTCACCAGGAACTGCGCAAGGCCTAGTCTGCGCATGCGCGGTGTAGTGGCGAGGAACGAGACGTCCCAGAGTGTAGACAGGTGTAGGCTCTGTAGCTGTCGGGACTGGAACATGACGTCGGCCCAGAGATGCACGAGACGCTGACTGCGAGGCTCTTTCATTGTCCGATCTGTGGGAATGATAAAGACTTGTTATGAATCGTATTGATTATATGCCACGAAAATTAGCCCTTCCTTATTCCTAATTAGATTTACACCCGATCTGAACTAACAAGTCGTACTTACGACGTTTGAAGAAAGTCCACGTCACAAATTTGGTGCCCGAACAGGGACTGTTAAACTAGTAGTATCTACGAAATTGTTGCGGAATTATTTGACGGACGGATACTCATAGAGAAGCACCAAACAATCGCGTAAAACCTTTTCTCGAGAAAAGAAACGTTACACCATTTGAATCCTACCATCACAACCACGACTACGTGGCCCCTCTGGGGTTACTTAGAGCAACCGTTCTTTGGAACATTTGAAAAAGGATAGTGACGAGTGGAAAAGCTACGGCCATACTTTCAGGAAATGTAATGAAAAAGAAATTGTCTTAAAACCTTGAGTACTACTTGCAGTAGCTACTTATGACAAAGAAAATGAGAATTTATTTAGCAAAGATTCTTCCATGCATACAATAACGCTCTAGCTACTGTTGTACACCACCTGCGTAGAGACGGAGATGTTCATGAGTGTCGGACGTGACGGGTCCACCACTCGCCGCTGCTACCACCTCACCACTGGATCTCTCCCTCAGCAAAACCGAGTGCTGACTCTCCAGTGCCGTGCTGACGAACGACGTCAGCTCCCTCAAGTCAGTTATCCCCGCCGCTCTCACCATAGGCTCTTCTTTCATGTATGTGTTGCTGTATAGATCAACTAGTGCGGAGATATCTTTCGATCCTTTCACCAGAGCCATCTCTAGGTTGATGGGTGGAGTCTATAACAAGACGGAATAATATTATTTTGATCCAATGACTTTAAATCATTTAAATGATTTTTTTTGTCTTTTGACTCCTTGTCACCAAAGACATAAGGTGTGTATACCTTAAGATAGATATCTCATAGATTTCTTGGACAAAGCAGTAGTTTTAAACATATTGTTTTATGAAAAAGATGTTGGTGGAGTCTTTTAACCTTGCATTTGCCAACATATGCCTCGGGCCCGTGCATCGGACGTATCCAGCAAAGCCAGGGGGTTCTGATACAGTACTGACAACACTGCTGTACTGGTAAAATATTTGACAGCTACCAGAATCTAAAGTACTAATCTCTTTTATGAATTCAAAGTTCGTCGCAGTATCGACTGAGCTACTGACTCATAGAAAGTCCATGCCCAACTATCGATGGCTGAGGCTGACCGATCAGTGTCGCGTTAGAATAGAGTTATGAACACATGCGTTTCGAAATTAGATGATATAGAATAATTTTTGAGTAACGTTTATTATGATCGTTTTACTATATATGCACGTGCCTAACAGTAGTATTTGTTAATTATATTTTTTCCAAAAACTTGTGCTCTATTTTTAGCGAATTTCCCATACAGGGAATAAGCTATTACCGTAGTACTCATGGTAAGACCTGGACGCGGGACCGATTTTTTTTCGTTTTGAGGTCCCTAGAAGCCAAAAACACCATCCGTTCAAATTCATATATATATATATATATATACACGGCCGCGCCCGGGAAGCCAGTCACATAAAATATACACTGAAAGTCAGTCAGTTGCACCCCCCAATATATTTCAAGACTATGATATATATATAATATATGTTGGTAAATATCTTAAGCCTAGACATATCTGAACGTATATATCTCTTTTTTTCTTAAAAATACTAAAATATAATTACGTAAAAAATGCTATGCTAATGCAGTCACCACCGCATTTGCATGGGAAAGCCAGTCACGTAAAATTTGTGCTGCTAAGCCAGTCACTATATATTTTACCGCATACCACTGGAATCCAGTCACTGAAAATCCACCCGGGTATCCCGTCACTTCAGTCACTTTCACCCCTGCCCTTCTACTTTGTGATATTTATTTGTTCTACAAGCTTGAAAATCCGCACCTCAAACAAATGGATTATGCTTCAGGCATTGAGCACTCTCATAACCCATCTTTCGCACTTCATTTTAATTAGTTGTCTTCCAGATTACTTAACAATTACTATTCTACAGATTAAATACCTAAATGTCAATGTAATCTTTGGTCGTCTTAATAGTCGTCCTGGCAACTGTGGATACAAATATGTACCGTACTAATTCGCAAGCGTAAGGTGGGAAGTTATTCCTTTATAGTCGCACAATTAGGCCTATTGTTGAGTCCTTGGAGGCAAGCGGCCATCTTGGATGATTTCAAAAAGCTGCAAAATTTATCGTCCAAAAATATTTTTCAAACACCAAAGTGTTTATAATTTAAATAGCTAGTATACTGTGGGATTAGAAATGTTCTTTGTAGTTTTGAATTATTCTCCAAGGGAGTCCATAAAATAAGTTAACGGTCACGGTCATCTTGGAAAAAGGCCAACTAATACGAAAACAATATCCTGTGTTGCGCGGGCCGTAGCACACAAATAGTTTTCCCGCCTCAAACATTCAAAGGCGTGTGGAACAAGGCAAAATTCTTGTCTCTTTTGTGGCGAGAGGTAGGGGCGAGCCTTAACGGGTTCCATTGATGGGCTACCCGGCTACCGACCGACCTGGGGTAGCGACTAGCGAGCCAGTGGATGGTTAAAGGTTCTGCCGGTTATTTCCATCTTATTGCTGGTTCTCGAGCTTTTTGAGCTCGTTGTACAGTGAAATATTACTTCCCTATTTTATATAGAGCCACAATCAAAGCGATTTTTACAAGAAAGAATGAAGGTATAGACTCAGTGATGTGTGGTTACTTAATTAAATCATGTTCCTTGATTGTTTACCCTTTTGTAAGAGCCAATAATCAATCAACTTATATTTCTTTATTTTTCGATTTATTATCTATATCAATTCAAGAGGTAGCCCTGTACCTGGTTAACAAATATACCGATTACATTTAACGTGTTTTCTTTGAGTTACGCCCCATGGGATTCCAAAGTTTCACAATGTTTACATTTTTGAAGAATGTAGATAACAGAATGTTTAACGAAGTCAGCTTTAAATGCTGTCAATAAAGTTTGATTTTGATGGTCCAAAAGGTAGAAACGATTCGATTTGTGAAACTTTTAACTTTTGCTACGGGCCTGTTAATTGAAGATTCTGACATTCTTAATTTAAGGAAGTAAACGTATTAACATGACGTGTTTGGAGTGGGATTTGAAATATGTGACGTGTATCAAACTTTTTCTCTTCAAAATCCTCTCCGATGTAAAACACAGGTACGGCAGCTAGGTTTATTAGAATTCAAAAGTTTTTTAATTGTCCTCCAATGTTTAGAAATTATTTTTCGATCAAGTTGTTTAATGAATAAATAATTGTTTTGCCAAATTATGTTTCGAAAACAGGAACTAAAAATAGACCAGGAAATAGATATTTTAGTTCAGAAAACAAAGCCAATCAAATAGGCCTACGTACTTTTTAAATAAAAACACTGGTTAGATGGTTTTTAACTTTGCTGTTTATTTACTTCAATAAATTTCTAATAAAAATCACCACAGGTACTAATCTATATAAATAAAATTAGAGTTTTGTCTGTACATTGCTCAGAATCATCAACTTTTAGATTATTTTTACGTTTTAAACATTCAAGAATCCGAAAAAAGTTTCATCTCAATTCCGTTATTATCTCAATCATCAATTATTATCTCAATTCCGTTGTTGTCTATCTTCCGTCTGTCACGGTCCACAGGCCATTTTACGTGGCCTTCTCCTGAAAACGAGAGTACCTATCAAGATCCTCGAATCATTTTAATGTATCCACTGGATTGGCGAAAGTGTCTTTAGCTATTAAAATATGGCCTCACTACTTTGTAAAAAAAACTTACGGACGTTTAAAACCCAATTTTGTGCGATTTTTGTCAAGTTTTCTCACAATGTTTATCACATAATCATCATATGAAATAGCGAACAGCTGTTCGGATCAAGATTATTTTTCTCTAGCTGTCACTGATATGTTTACATTGAATATTGTTTACAAATACAGCAATCATTTCAGATCAAGTTTCAAAAGCAAATCCAAACCAAGTTGGATTAAAACCGTTTTTCCTTACATGACGGATTTAATTAATCGCAAGTGCAATAATGTGTAGGGTAACCGTAAATGAAAATAGAGCTTCTTTGTGTATAGAATTTCTATCGAGTTTTGGGTTTATAACCGGGGAAAAGACTTTGACTCAGTGTTCTATATGCCTGGGAAACTTACATTTTTTACATAAGCGTTACCAATAGCTTACATATAAGGTTTCAACTCGTTGACGGCACTTCAATGGCGGTTGTGTAAAGTGTTTAGAGACAACTACAGTGGGTGATTGTTACGGATTATGCTCAAATCGTATTTCTAATGTGTCTTCTCAACGCTATGTGCTGCTCGCTGGACCATACGTCCAACAGACCAATTATCCATCTCTTGGGTTCGTAGGCTTAAACAATTATTCATAAGTTGGTAGCGCATATAACTCAGTGTTCCGTACGGACAGGCCAAGAGCACCTTTGATAGTGAAATTTCCAACCTGAATGTTTAATGGCGAGGTTGAGGTATAGTATTTTAACTATATATCGTTTGGTTAGTTAGGTAAGGTTAACCTAACCTAACTAACCAAACGATATATGGAATTAAACAGTCGAATAATCAATATTACTAATTTAGTTGTTTGTGCCAACAGATATGGAAGTGTACCCCTCATAGATCTATTACGCATTTTTTTTTTTTACTTGAAACTGTCAGATACTGTATTTGTTTGTATATAATAGTTTGGCTAGCATATCTGAAAATATGCAAACCAATAGTTTTTCTTTATTTAGGAAGGTTTCAACTGACCACTAGAGGATCCCCGTGCGTAGAACGGGCACACAATAGTAATTAATATTTAATTAATACATCTTATCTTACTAATATTATAAATGTGAAAGTTTGTATGTTTGTTTGTTTGTTTGAAGTTCAATCACGCATTAACTTCTGGCACAGAAGATATACTGTTTTTAATTTATAAATAATTTGTCATATTGTGCGAATCTTGGTGAAATGAATTTGGTGATTTGCTTTTTTCTGCTGTTTAGGTGCAGTGGTAGAACATTATTATGGATATGGTAGATGTTTTATACTATATTATACCGTAAATTAAAGAAACGACACGACGAGTGTCGTTGTCAATAATGTCGTCTGATTCTGACTGATGTCAGATGTTACACTGAATCGGTCACAGGGATAATAATTAGTTGTAACCTACCACTAGCTTACCTAACTAAGTTTGAGTGTTGCTATTTGCAGTGTGGGATGATTGCACTGGACAGTTTAGCTATCTATTTCAGAAAAATAAAGTTTAAAAAAAATCAAATTCTAGGATCTGTTCTTAAGTTGTGGCCGTTTTGAGATGGATGCTTTCACAGTTCAGTTTAGCCTAGCCTGAACAACTGGATTAGTAGCTTGACTTAGTGGTTCATCCATGTTTAGTTTATAAACACTAATCAATGCCTAATCTAGATTATAGGTGCCTTATTCTACTCTGTTTTAAAACTAATATACATAGGCATAAGCTTTATTTTTTGTATTAAATACTGGGTGCATCATTAAGGTAACTCCGTTAGGTTGCTTTTTATAAATAAATAATTTCATAAATCACTGATACCCTATATCATCTAAGTGTGCTCAGTACATAATGACACTCTCTCAAAAAAGTACTAATCCTAACCCAAAAAAATATAGATAGGTAGCTTTAGGCCTACAGAGGATGAGTGTTTATATTTATATCACTTATATTTATATGTCTGTGGTTAGGTTTTGGTTATGTTTGCCTTAAGAAGGCTATAA